AAAACAGATTTTTTATAACCTGCAGGCTGCAGCCTATACTAACCCATAGGATAATCCGGCCCTGTCGATAATATATACTTTCATAGATCTCACCCCTTAACGCCCCCCCCCCCCCCCCCGTCTCCACTCGAATTGTACAGAATCACAAAGTGGCAAGCCCTATCTTATTTTGAATGCATATATTATAGATATACAGTCATTCATATCCATGAGCATATACAATCATGCATGCATACATATTTTCATACATGCATATATATACATAGTTTCCCATACGTATGTGTAAACATACATACATATGTACGTGCTTGAATGCATATATACATACATAGACGCGCATTCGTATGCCCATACATATATATATCAACAAACATAAATGCTTACATCCGCAAATACATACATACAAACGTGTGTGGGTGTGTGCATATATATATATATATATATATATATATATATATATATATATATATATATATATATATATATATATACATATATATATATATATATATATATATATATATATATATATATATATATATATATATATATATATATATATATATATATATATATATATATATATATGCATATACACAGCTATACGTACACACACATATATACACACACATACGCACACACACACACATTTATATATACACTACACACATACACATATAATGCATGCATGGATATAAGTATGCATTATGTATTATGTATATGCATGCGTAAATATATACATGCAAAGATAAACACATGGAGACATCTGTAACTTCACTCATACATACACACACACACACACACACACACACACACACACACACACACACACACACACATATATATATATATATATATATATATATATATATATATATATATATATATATATATATACACACATATATAAATGCATGTATATATGTTAATATATGTATATATCATATATGTGTACAAACACAAGCACACACACACACACACACACACACACACACACACACACACACACACACACACACACACACACACACACACATATATATATATATATATACATATATATATATATATATATATATATATATATATATATATATACACACATATATAAATGCATGTATATATGTTAATATATGTATATATCATATATGTGTACAAACACAAGCACACACACACACACACACACACACACACACACACACACACACACACACACACACACACACACACACACACACACACACATATATATATATATACACTAGCACATACAAAAATAAGTATCGGTCCCCTTTGCACAAACTAATATGAAAAATCGACGAAGTGGTGTGGAATAGCGAGGCAAGGTAGTTAGCACCGTAATCAGGTGTTAACAGAGAGAAGCGTTCAGTTGCTCATTGAACACTAGGAAAGGTAACGATATATATATCTTATGACTATACATACAAACATCATACATGTATGATACACATATATATTCATATATACAAATATATACACACATTAATGTCCAAATATATGTGCACATACATAAATTCATACATACGTACATACATACATACATACATACATACATACATACATATATATACATACATGTATACACTCATACATACATACATACATGTAAATTCACACACACACACAGATGTAAAGACGTAAATTTGCACACTCACACAAGCGGACACACACGTGGACGCGAATGCTTACGCAGATTGTGATAAATAAATGACAGTAGTTCTTACGAAGAATTATGACAAAAGAAAATAAATGAAAATCAATTATACAATATACTGACCAATCTTCCACGTTTATAGACAGCTTTGAAAAGTTGTCCTGTCAAGCCTTTTGATGTAAATTTATTGACATATCGATTCAGACGATAACGCGTACAAAGCGCTCTCACATAAACAAAACAAATAATACAAAAAACTCTTCTAACATTCTAACAAACTATAAAAAGATAACAAACAGATAAAAAAACGAGATATGAGGTGAAAGCCAATGTTTATATTCAACTTGTATCATTGGTGTGTTTCTTTTTATACTTGTGTACACGTTCCTGCGATTATATTTGTGTTCACTCATGCACAGGCATACACGGAAACACACACACACACACACACACACACACACACACACACACACACACACACACACACACACACACACACACACACACATAAACACACACACACATAAACACACACACACACACACACACACACACACACACACACACACACACACATTCGCACACACACACACGCGCACATACACACACATACACACACACACACACGCAGGACACTAGCCTTCCTTTGCATAATTACAGAAGGACAATAATACAAAATGGCGATACATTGCAACATGTTTAATCACATTATCTTACAGTGAAAAGGAGAAGGATTAGCAGAGGAGGAGGGGGAGGCGGAAAGAGAGAGGAGGAAGCGAAAGAGGAAGGGGAAAGAGATGGCGGAGGAGAAGAAGAAGAAGAAGAGAAAAGAATGAGACGAGAAGAATCAAGAAGGAGGGAAGGGAGGAAGAGAAGGAGGAGGTTTAGGAGGAGGAGGTGGAGGAGAAGAAGAAGGAAGAGGAGCTTCAAAATAATAACTTAATTTGATTCTTCGTTAATAATCATCCGACTAGAAATACACACGAAGCGGCATTGTTTGGTGACCCTCCGTTCCATCCAGCCTCTTCATCATACCTTTGTGCAGTCACCGTCAAAAAAGTCTTGTGACATTAATTGTTTATGCTATTGTTTACCTTATGTTTATGTTTAGATAATGTGGCCCTTTTTGTTTGGATTATTGTTTACATTATACTTATGATTTGATAATGTGACCCTTATTGTTTACCTTAGGATTAGATTTAAGTGATGTGACATTAATGGTTTAAGTTAGCATTTTTTTACGCTTTGATAATGACTCTTATCGTTTATATTCATCATCATCATCATCATAAGTCAGAGACGGGCTTGCACCTACAACGCAAGACCTCAAGAACACTCCATTGTTCGATCAGAAGCATAGTCATTGTTCCACAAACGGTAACTGTGCCGCAGCTTCAGAGGAGCCAGGTTCTTCGGGATGGTGGACAGCCACATCGTCCGTACTCCTCCTCGTGGGCGTTTCCAGGCAAGTCCATGGTCTGACATAAGGGCCACTTTAACTAGACGTCGCTCATCCATACGTAGGGCATGTCCAAGGTAAGTGAGGCGTACGTGAAGCAGGTCCTCGCTGCATGTTGGTGGATTGCCCGACCTGTGCAGAACATCCTGGTTCGAGAGCCTGTTCTGTTCTAATCAGTTATGTTCCTAAATGAGACAGTTCTCCCCTGTGGCCCTTGTTGAGTAGATAGTGTTTACCTGATGATTAGGTTTAAATAATGTGACGTTTATTATTTAGATTATGGTTTGCCACCTGTTGATGTTGAGATAATGTCCACCGGAGAAAGGACTTGACTTTCACTCAGCTTAAACTGGACAAGGATGACCGCGTAGGTGGCAATACAGCTCGCGATCTGAGAGAGAGGAAGAAGGAAGAGAAAAGTTGCGTTTTATATCTATAGCTGTCTGTCTGCCTGACTGTCTGTCTGGTTATCTGCACATCTTTCTGTCTATCAGTATGCTGTATTAACTATATCTACACACACACACACACACACACACACACACACACACACACACACACACACACACATATATATATATATATATATATATATATATATATATATATATATATGTGTGTGTGTGTGTGTGTGTGTGTGTGTGTGTGTGTGTGTGTCTATACATACATATATATATATATATATATATATATATATATATATATATATATATATATATATATATATACATATATGTGTATGTGTGTGTGTGTGTGTGTTTATATATATATACATATATATACTTGTATATATACACATACATATACATACATACATACATATATATATATATATATATATATATATATATATATATATATATATATATATATATATATATTTATATATATATGTGTGTGTGTGTGTGTATATTTGTATATATATGTATATGTATATACACACTCATGCACACACACATACGTACACACACACACACACACACACACACACACACACACACACACACACGAGCACTGGACTCCGACCCTCGTGGTCCCGGGTTCGATTCCCCGTCGCGGCAGTTGGAAAAAAAAATGCCTACGCTCTGACTGCTATCTCGAGCCCGAGAAAACGACATATCGGCTTGAGAAGTCAAACGCAGGTGTCGTAGGGGAAGTCACCGCCGTGGCACAAGTGTTAACGCGCCGAACCGCGGTTGATTAGGAAGGGCATTCAATCAGGCAAGGGTGAAACCGCCATATAACCTCTCAATACTGAATTGAGTGAGGCCTATGTCCTGCAGTGGAATGAATGGCTGTTAAAAAAAAAAAAAAAAAAAAAAAAATATATATATATATATACATATACATATATATATATATATATATATATATATATATATATATATATATATATATATATATATACATATATATATATATATATATATATATATATATATATATATATATATATATATATATATATATATATACAGTTGTCCTTAAAATTATTCATACCCCATGTAAAATGACATTGTTTGATTATTAATTTCTGAAAGGTATTATGATGGTACTTCCGGTGTATTTTTTGTCTACTTGTTATTGCACATAAATCCACATGTGAGTTGGCTAAACTTCATTTGCATAATAAGAGATGTTTTGCACATGTTCAGAACTATTCATACCCCTGCCAGTACCTAAACAAAAATGTACTTCTATGATCGACCCCATCCTTTTCACTTCCGGTTAATGTGCTAGTCCTTGTAATCTTTGTCCTGTAGTTATTTCAAGATGTTTCAATTGAATGAATACCTTTTCTGATGTCAATATAATGGAGTAATGACAAGGAATTAGTGTTTTCCAGAAGAGTATAAATAGATCATCATGGGGAAGAAAAAAAAACTCAGTGAAGACCTTCGACAGCGTCTTGTGCAAGCCCACAGTGAGGGAAAGGGCTACAAGGCCATTGCTAAGCAGTGCAGTGTTCCTGTGGCAACCGTCCAGAGTGTAATTAATAAGTACAAGCGGTTCAACACTGTTAAGAACCTCGGTGGGCGTGGCAGGAAGCGTACGGTGTCCACCAAACGTGCGAAGAAAATCTGCCGAGAGGTCAGCAACAATCCCCTACGTAAAGAACGTGAACAGGCAGAGACGAAGGTGTCACGGTCCACCATCGAGCGAGTTTTGCACAGAGGAGGTCTCCATGGACGCAGGCCTCGAAAGACACCGCTGCTCAAGAAGAATCATCTGAAGGCTCGCCTGGCCTTTGCTAGAGGCCATATACAGCAAGATTCCAGCTTCTGGTCAACCATCCTGTGGTCTGATGAGACGAAGTTGGAGTTGTTTGGCCACATGGATGCTGAATAAGTATGGAGGAAGAAAGGAGAAGTATACAATCCAAAGAACACGGTGCCAACCGTCCAGCACGGTGGTGGAAACATCATTCTATGGGGATGCTTCTCTTCCCACGGCACAGGGAAGAGAAGGGTCCATGGAATCATGAGAAAGGAGAACTACATCCAGATCCTTAATGAAAACCTCCAACTCAGCGACAACTGGAAGTTCCAGCAAGACAATGATCCAAAACATACTACTAAAGTAGTCCAGAAATGGTTCAAGGACAATGATATCAGCGTCCTGGAGTGGCCTAGTCAGAGTCCTGAGTCCTGACCTGAATCCCTTAGAGAACTTAAGGTGGGACTTGAAGACCCGAGTGATGGCCAGGAAACCAACTAACCTGACCCAGCTTGAGTCTTTTGCCAAGGAAGAATGGGCCAAAATCCCACAGGAAACGTGTAGTAAGCTTGTGGACACCTATGAGAATCGACAAGAAGCAATCATGAAGAACAAAGGATATGCTATTGACTATTGAAGAAAGGCAATGAACACTGCAAACCAAGGGTATGAATAATTTTGAACATGACTTTTTTTCAAAGATCCGTGAATAAAATACCCCTGAAACTTAATATTTGTCTATTGTTGTTATTCTTTCACCTGTTGGCTACACATAAATTAAGAACAAACCTGACAAAATGCTTTCATGTCATCACAAAAATTAAATATGTCAAAAATCAACAAGAGCATGAATAATTTTGAGGACAACTGTATATATATATATATATATATATATATATATATATATATATATATATATATATATATATATATATGTGTGTGTGTGTGTGTGTGTGTGTGTGTGTGTGTGTGTGTGTGTACACACACACGCAACTCACCCAAACCTTTAAGTTCTCCGATTCACCAAGTTATGTTTTTAATTACCATTTTTATTACTTGATTCTTTATACTTGTACTTACATATGTTTGGCCTTAAAAAAGAAAAAAAAGTCATGAAAATGGCTGCCTTCGAAACCTTTTTTTTTTTTCAAAAGTGACCTGGCAAATCGGAGGGCGCCAAGGGTGAGTTGCCAGATTCTCCTTTACGTAAATTGGACGATATATCTAACCTTCCTTCTATCTGTACATCGAATTATCTTTCCATCTGTTTAGCCGTCCATCTATCGATCTCTCCGTCCATCTATTCATTACTTGTCTTGTCTCTCCCTCTATCTGTCCTTCATCAACACATCTCTCTATCTACCATCATCTGCCTATCTCTCCATCCATCTGCCTAGCCCTTGGCACTCACGCCGATGGAGGAAATGGAAATGCCCCCCAGTCTATCTATCTATCCTTCCCTTTATGTAGCCTTTCATCTCTTTATCTATCTGATTTTTATATGTCTACCTGTCTCTCCATATCTCCATCTTTCTCTATATCTCACATCCATCCGTCTATCAGCATGCTACATATATCTCTTTCTATCTATCCATCATGTACCCACCTTTCCATCCCTCTACTCATCCATTACGTAATATTTGGATCCATCTATCTCTCTTTGTATAATTGTCTATCTCTCCCTCCACGTATCGCTTCTCTCCGTACAACTGTCTATCATCCCCGTCTCTCCGTCTATCTGGCCATCATCTGCTCATTTCTCTCTCTACCTGTCCATCTCGTATCTATCTCTCCCTCTATCTATCCATCTGTTATCTACCTCCCCACCCATGCCTAGCCCTTGGCACTCACGTCGACGAGCCTGGCCTTGGCGAGGACGAAGAGGCGCCCCAGCTGGAAGTCCGGGTAGGCCGACATCAGCGCCAGCAGACGTTCCACCTGGGCACGGGAAGGACATGGGAAGAGATGAGAAGGAAAGGAGAAGGACATGAGGAGGACGTGAGGAAGAATGAGAAGGACACATAGATTTGCTCTTGCTTTCAGCGTATCAAAACAGCGTATTTGATGTCGAATAGATTCATGCAATGTATTGCATGCGATTCCTGATGATCCCTGGCACTTCACTGAGATCGTGAGAGAGAAGAGGAAATTCTAAGGCCTTAACATTCGCTTCTCTATGCTTTACCTTTAATTTGATCTCTTTGTGTATAGTTTTGGCGTGACCAGCATACGAAAGGTGGAATATATGTTTGAAAAAAACTAAAATTCTTTTACCTTCTCATTTACAGTTTCGTCGGCGACCAGGAACCGCAGAGTAAGAAGTGTGTGGCGCAGTGATTCCCTCTGGCGGCAGAAAAGCAAGTTAGAATGTTATTATCGTCGCAAATTGGAATCAACTAAGTATCGTTTATGCGTCAGTGTTCTCTCCGGTCTTCGTAAAATATTAGGGCTAACTTTATCTACCTCGACCTTTACCAACTCCGGGGAACAACACAGGAGGACTATGTTCATGGTTTCCTTCAGAAAGATGGTGATCAGTGGAAAGGATATCTTGATGCCTTGGGACGTCATATAGAAAATGGATACTGTGATATGCAGCATGGCTCTGAGCAGGATGAGGGCGACCGGCGTGGCCATGTAGTCGTTGAGCGCCCTCTGGAATTCGTGGATGTCGAAGATCAGCCGTGCGGTTTCGTCGGCGTCCAACTGCTGCCGAAGGAGGCGAAGGCGCGAGTGTCCGTGTCTGGCCACGGCAGGACGAGGGGACAAGTCATGCCCCACGGCCGCGTCGGGGCATTCGGCGGCGGCGAGAAAGGCCTCGCGCAGGCTGCCGGAGTTGACTCCCAGCGCGTGCTTGTACAGGACAGACACCGAGGAGCACACGGAGCGAAACAGGGCGATGACGGCGAGGACGGCGCTGTCAAGGACGAGTATCAGGAGGTGGTAACAGAAGAGGTGGGCACTTCTGGAGAGGCCAAATATCATAGCAGTCACTGCCAGTGTGTGGCACTGCATCAATAGGTTAACCAAATAAAGTAGCAATCCACAATGCAAAGAGGTGTCTCTTGAACTTGTCTTGGGAGGAACAGAAGAGCGACTCAACAAGACGAGTCTCCTGATCAGGCTCGCTAAGGCCGACCAACTCACAGCCAGATTAGTAAACATCAAAGCGACTGCCACGATGTTTATGATGAATGTGGCAAATGTGATGCTTTGCAGTGTAGTTTCATCATCACTTAAATATATTTGTACGTCCTCGAAGAATGCGATGGCGCAGACAGAGGCCAGAGTCACGAGGAAAGCCCACGACCATAGCGTCAGCCATTTTGACCTGACGAGGGGCAAGGTCTGTTCTTGCCCTTGTGCGGGAAGTTCCCAAGCGCCCCGTCTCTCGCCCTTTCCTCCTCCGTCCCTCAGGGCTCCCGATGCGGCGGTGACCTGAGCCCACGCGGGCTCTTGTCCCTCTTTCGGGCGAGACGCGAGACCCAGGGCGCGTGGCCATGTGTAGGGCAAGGCGCCCAGGACGCGCAGGACCTTCAGGCTCCGCAACAGAGCCATGCCGGGCGCGGAGCCCTCGCCGAACACCCCAGTTGGCTCCATCGGCAACTCACTAGAGCCAACAACCGAAGAATTAGGGCTTGAGGCAAGAGGGAGAGTACCTGCTCCTCGCCTGACGGGCTCAGACTAAGCATTGATCCCTTGCAGCCGCGGGACCCAACCTACGTAGACTCAAGATCCGTCACAGAGCCCGCATGGTCTTTGTCGGCCCGACGTGCGTGGCGCTCCCAATGGATCCCCGGCCTCTGCCTCCGCCCGGAGACGATCGCCGGAAACAGCCTGCCCTTCCAAACTGTTTGTCTTTTTACATATATTCTGGCTTACAGTTCTGTTCATGTAATTAATGATCCAATGAGCATCATTATATTAATGGTAATATTCGTGATACCCAAGATAACAACACCTTTATGCAATAAAAAGAATTATTTATAATGATACTAATGACAATAATGATAGTAAGATTATCATTAATATTACTATTGCTGTTTTCTCCATCATTATAATTATGATAACGATGATACTTGTAATAATAATGATAATAATAATAATAGGGATATCAATAATTATGATAATGATAATGATAACAGCAATAATAGTAATGACAACAATGATAACGATGATGATAATAATAATAATAATAATAGTAATAATAATAATAATAATGATAATGGTAATGATAGTAACAATACAATGATAATAATAAAAATGATAATGATAACACCAATGATAATGAGAAAAAAAATAATAATGATAATAACAGTAATAACAATAATAATAGAAATAATAATAATAATAATAATAATAATAATAATAAAAATAACAATAAAAAATAATAGTAATAATAATAATAATAATACAAATAATAGCAATGATAATATAAATAATAATAATGATAATAATAATAATAAAATAATAATACAATAATAACAATAATAACAATAAAACAATAACAACAATTAAGTCGAGGATGATAATAATAATAATAATAATAATGATAAAAGCAAAGATAGTAATAATTATAATAATGAGGATAATAATAATGAGGATAATAATAATAATAATAATAATAGGTTAATAATAATAGTAATATTAATGAGTAATAATAATAGCATTAATAATAATAATAATGATAATAATAACAATAATAATAATGATAATGAATGTGATAATAAAAAATAATAACAAATACAACAACAATAACAAAGAAATAATAATGAAATTAGTAATAAAAATATCAATAACAATAATAAAATAATAACAATAATAATGATAGTAATAATAATATTAACAATATCATTAATAACAATGATAATAGTAATAATAATAATAATAATAATAATAATAATAATAATAATAATAATAATAACATTAACAATAACAGTAACAATGAAAATGATGATAATAATAATGATAATAATAATAATAATAAGAAGAAGAAAAACAATGAAATTATAATCATTATCATTATTATTATTATCATTATTATTATTATTGTTATTATTATCATTATTATTATTATTATTGTTGTTATTATTATTATTATTATTATCAATATTATTATTACTATCACCGTT